CAGTATCCTCCACGCGGCACTCTGGTTTCCTTCCCAAACAATGAGCAATCAATATTTAATTGTTCTTACCACAATTAAATATTTGACAATTAAGAGAGAGAAATGTAAAAACAAAAATTTATTTTAGCCTAATTTTATAAATAAAGAAATAGTTTAGAGCAAAGCCCACGTGACTTCTCCTCTTTTTTTTTTTTGGTAAATAATAGGTTTCAACCCTTTACTTCCTCCATTCTTCTCTCTGATTATCTCAGAGTCGGTAGTTTTTCCATGGCTTTAGTTTTTTTTCTTCTCTGTCCTCCTCTTGATCTTCATCTTCTCCCTCTCTTTGTCATCCTTCACCATTTGCCGCTATCTCTCCTCTCCTAATCTGTCATCTTCCTCTTCCCTCTCCAACAAGTAAACCCATTGTAGTGGTGACACAAGCAGGTCGGCAGTGCCTCCACTCTCATCACCACCGCTTCTACCTCTGTTTTCTTCCCTCTCCATCCCGCTTACTTTCATTTCTTTCGACCATTCATCTCGCACAGTGATGAACCTACGGACCAAATCCATCAAGCACGCATGGCGCATTTGCTGCCATAAAACCCTAACACCCACGAACTCGCTAATCGTTTAAACCGTCAAACCAAACCGACAAACCGTCAGTTTATCAGTTCGGTTTAAGTCGGTTTTGATTGATTGGCGGTTCGGCTTCAGTTTGTGATTATGATATTATTTATGATCGGTTCCGCTTCGGTTTGGTTCCAAAACCAAGCCAAACCGACCCACTTACACCCCTACCCATAAGGCCCCACCATCGGGGCATAAGTGCCCTTTAACTACCAATATGTGAGATACCGTCTCAGCTTTCGAATCGCTCTAGAAAACTTTTTGTATTCCAATTTTTTAGATTACCGATCTATTATTATTGATTATTGATTAATTAATTAATTTACTATCTATGGTTAATGAAAACTTTGTAAGGTATTGACTTACATGATTATTATTATTAATTTTTTTAAAAAAAAGAAATATAAGCTTGTAGTCATGATCAATAAGTTCACAAAACATTTGAAAAAAAAAATACTAATCAATAGCAACAATTAGACTAATACCCTAGCTATAGACTCATACCTTAATAAATTTGTCACTTGATTATTGTTCACCAATATTATGATTTAACTTCATTACAAGGTGTAAGGTGTAATTGTAATGATGTTATAAGTCTAAGATCTGAGATATAGATCCAACATGTAATTTGCAACTTGAATATGTCACAACATCTTGAGACGGATTTGAAAATTGAAGAGTTTCCTGAGAGCGACCCTAGCTAAGATTCGAGATATAGATTCAACATCAAGCTTACAACTTAATATGTCATAACATCTGGAGATATCTTTGAACATCGAAGAGTTTTTTAGAACAAAGAATTGAGAAAACTAAAAGAAGTATGAATGTCTTTGAGTGTTTCTGAACAAATTATGGAAGAAAGTTAATATTTATGGAATAATACAGGTTCAAGTGGTAAAACATTAAAAATTTCGTTGTAGATTGTAGTTAAATTAATTTTTTAAAAAGTTGCATAAAAGACCTCTTGCATTCAAATTTTTTTATATTTCATATATTGAGTATTATTGATAATTAATTATTAACTAATTAAAAGTAGGTAGAAAAGATCTCTTGCACTCCCATCTTTTATATTCCATATATTTAGTATTATTGATAATTGATTATTAATTAATTTACTATATTTAAAGAAAATGATAAAATAATTAATTGGTTTTTAAAATTTATTAGTAGAGGTATGTATAGTAATTTAGAAATTGAGAGAGGATTATTTTAGTTCAAAAATGTTTTTCTAGAATTATCTCTTTTTAATATAGTATAGATAATTAAGATGATTAGTGATTTCAAAATGATAGATTTAATGAAAAACTTAGTTTATTTCATGTTTTCAATATTTTTTTAATATATGTTTGGAATAAATTTATGAATTGAAATTAATTTAACAAGTTATTTAAATGATAGCATAATTTAATACATTAAAAATAAAATTGAGAGTTTAAAAATATTTAAGATTAAATTAACTATTAAATAAAAAAAAAACAAAGACCATTTTGTATAGGTTAAAGTTAAATATTGCATAGGTGCCTAATCGGTGATGAAATTCTCAATTTCGTCCTTAATCTATTTTAATCTATTAAAAGTTCTCTAAAAAAAGAATTGTTAAATTTGTTAATAAAAATTAATATATAATTAAATTCTATGTTTCATTAACATGTTTGGACATGTGAATATATCATCGACACCTATCAATTAACAAAATTAATTTCTTTCTAGTAGTATGTCTATGTATCTAAATATCAATGTTTAAAATGTCGATGATGATCGAAATGTCGATGTCTCAATTTTACGGAAATATCGATGTCGACGAATATTTCATGAAAAATCACGAAAATTATGAAAATTGATAGAAATTGTTTGAATTAGTAAATAAAACTTTAATAGTATCTTAAGCTATAATTAATCACTTTTAACAATTAAATGTAAAAATATGAATTACTTATGGAAATATTGACGTAGATATAAATGTCGAAAAAAGATAATGAAGATTGCTGGAAATAATTTGAATTGGTAAGTTGAAGTTCAATGTTGCTTAATTATGGTTTATTTTTCTAATTTCTAATCAAATCTAATTATTAATTACATAATGGGTAGTTGCAATTATAGCAAAAATAGGATTAAAGAAAATTGAAATTTAGCATCTACTTTTTGTTTTTACCTATATAGCAAAATATTTCTAAAAAACAGATGGCCAAGTGACTAAATCTCAAATTTACCCTTAATTAGTTAAAAACACGGAGCCCGATAGCCCAATCTTGTGGGATGTTGGATTCAACTTCCCTCAGATTTCCACTGATATATATGTTTGATATATACTTGATATATCATTGATATACAACTGATACTGATATAACTATGATATCTGCCGATATAATTTCTTATATGATTATATGATTTACCTTTTATTGATTTACCACTAATATATGTCTGGTATATACTTGATATACCTCATATACCACTAATATACAATTACGATATGTACTGATATACTTGATATGTGTATGATATACGATCGATGTACCATTAATATACGACTGATTTACTTCTGATATAATTATGATATCTATTCATATAACTTTTGATATATGATTATATGATTTACCAATGATTTGCCAATGATATATGTCTGAAATATACTTGATCTACCTCTGATTTACCACTGATATACCTTTGGCATACAACTGATATATCATTATCATACAACTGATATACCACTAATATAATTATGATATATACTGATATAACTTTTTATATAATTATATGATTCACTATTCATTGATTTGCCATTAATATAGCCCCGATATATGTCTGATATATATTTGAAATACATCTAATATACAACTTATTTACTTTTGATATAACTATGATAGTCACTGATATAATTTCGTATATGATGATATGATTTATTATTGATTGATCTACTGATACAACTTCTCATATGAGATTTACCATTGATATATGTCTTGGTATATGATTTACCAGTGATATAGTACTATCATGATATTTACAACTATGATAATACCCCTGAGTAAATAGGTTCCCATCATCGCTACGTGTCAACCCAAATGATAAAAAGCTAAGTGTGTATATGCAGAAAATGTGCATTATTTCTCACTAAAATCAGTTGTTCGGTACGCTAGACGCAGCTACGAGATCAAAGCATTGCGTTCATATTATCTTCATAAGAGTAGAATAGCGATTCAATATCATAATCTTGCATAACTTCAAATAAAAATCATTCAAACGAAATCCATTAACACATTTTCCACCATCCACTGGCATAGACACCATTTTCATCTCTCTCTGGATGATGATGATAAAAGAAAAAAAAAAAAACAAAACAAAACAAGATTCTGCTCTTATGGTATCCAATCACACGCTAAGATCACATAAAACTTTCTACTCCCACATGATTTACCCAAATAACACCCAGTCGAAAACTGTGTCTAAACTCAAAAAGGACGAAATGGGTGGTGGACAATCATTGGAGTGGTTCTAATTCATTCAACGCCCTTGATTTACAGAAGCATTGGAGGAGGGAGATAATCGTGAAAAGTGAAAAGCAAAACCATCAAATTAATCGTGAAAAAAGTCAGTTCAAGACGAAATCGATATAGATATGTGAAGAGGAATCGCAAATTGTGGTAAAAATTGGAAATGTTTGAGGTGGGATGAGGGGCAACAAGTTGTGGACGCATCAAAATAATGATTCCATCTAGAGATTGGGGATAAAAAAGAGGGGATCTGATGGGGAAGAAAATGGAAGAATCGAAGACAGCAAAGAAAAATGAGATAAACAAGAGAGAGAGAGAAAAATGGTGGCTTTCTAAACCCAAATCTAGAAAAAGGGTAAATTCGGAATAACGAAAAATTACAAAATCATAATTCTAATATTTTGCAATATTTGAAAAATTTTAAAAAAATGTGACATATTAAATACTTTTGCTACCTAATGTAATTACTCATTACATAATTCAAAATATATATATATATATATATATATATATATATATATATATATATATAAAATTTTATTACGTATAAGCAATTGTGATACCTGAAGTAGAACAAATAATTCAGACACATTTTGAGAATCTATTGAAATTGAACTATTAAAAATTGGGGGTAGGTTTGAAAATTTTATAATTAAAAAATAGGAACAAGATACCAACTTACACAACACCATTGCATGTAGATAAAGAAATGCAAATAAAGAAAAATAAACACCAAGCAAGTTATAAACGCTATCAATTCTTATTTCATATTTCCAATTTTCTTAAGAAAATTTAAGCATTTTGTAACTAATTAGGTTTCCTGTTTCTATTTTTTTTATTGTATAGAAATTTTTTAAACAAAAAAATAGAATTATTGTCTTATAGATACTGGAACCAACCACAGAAACATTAACAAACAAGCTTTTAATGAATCACTTCAATCGACAAAAGAGTATTACACCAAAAAAAATCTAACTCAAATCCACAAAACAATGAAACAAATGTCATAGAAACACCCAATACAACTCTCAGTCTCCACCAAATATCTCACAAATTTATCTACCATACAATGATGTTGTGTAAGTCAGTAAGCTTGCACCCCGTTTGTTCAAACTCTCAAACCTCATTCATTGGTCTATGGCGCCATCGCCCCTCAAGCTCGAATCTTGTTTATCGGCGTTCATGGCGCTACCGCCCCTCACAAACTAGTTTCTTTCTCATATGACATCAATTAGAATATAGTATCAGTATCACTCTTACTCCACACGCATTTCTCTGTAGTTACCGTTCGTATTTGACAGTCTTTTGAAAGATGAAGAGTATCCAAAATCCTCAACAGAGCTAGAGTGACTCCAAAACGTGCCAACCGTCCTGATGATCGGCATCTCATCAGGGCTCATATTTGGTGATTTCTTAGGGGAAGGTGAAGTTGAAAACTGTTTGAGCTCCTCCATAGTTAATGCTCCTAGAATTGGTCTATCTTCTTGGCTTATAAGCGAGTTCGATCCTTGAGACTCTGGTGTCGGAATACCTGAAATGCTTGTGTTAGTCTTGCCAGTGGGTGTAACTTCTGATGAACTCAACCAACTTGAAAGGCTGGCATCAACAGCTACGTCTTGATTTGAGTTTTTAGGTTGACAAGTTTTTGATTTGTTACTAAATGATGATTCCTTGAAATTTTCTTTGTGAGGATTCAATCCAAGTCTATCCTCAACTTTAACTGCCTTCCATTGTGAGAGGTTCTCCACAGGCTTCAACACAGAAGAATGAACACGGGCACTCCTATCTCGAGCATTCCACCTCGACCCGATTTGAGGCTCGTTCTTTCTAGGACACCCACACACCGACAAACAGCTATCGACCTCATCAGCAAACACTTGAACAGAATCTTTCCCACTTGATTCTGTGATTCCATCTTCACCATTAGAGAAATTGTCATACTCTTCGTCATCATCGACGTCATCAAAATCGTTTTTATCGCCATAATCATCAGTATCAGCATTATCATGATCAAGCTCACTATCAGCACAGTCCAATACTTCATCTTCATCATCAGTGTCCCTACAATTATGGTACCTATGATTGAGAGGATAAGACGAAACACTTGAAACAGTGGAGCCATCTTCAGAATAAGATTTGCATTGGGCTATTTCAGCTAGGTCTTTCTCCTCCTTGCTGTTCCTATCTTTTTCAAGAAAAACATCAGCTTCAGCTTCAGCTTCAACATGATCAAGCTCGTATGTCTTTACATTGGAATCAAATGTTACTCGTTTTCTGGTACTCGGGCTTAGTTGCTGCTCCTCAGGTCTGTCCCTACACTCAGAACCCATAAATTTGGAATAAGAACCTATAAAACACTAAGGAACAACTTGTGCTCAAATAAAACAGCCCAAATATCTAGTTATGTTCTTGTTAGATGCTCACCGAGCTTTCGGAATCGGACTGATAGACTTATCACAAGCACTGTCTGCAATAAATGGTGAGTCCTGCACGGGCTTGGAGACATAATTAGAATATGTTTGAGAGTGACGGTAGAATTATTGATTTTGAAAAAAGCTATTAAGTATAATTGATTTTTCAAAATCAGCATCCGAGTGATACCTTAAAAATCAATTTAGAGTGATTTTAAGCCTAAGATCAATTTCTTAATTTGCCAAGTACAAAAATGATTTTTAACCTGTCAAAATCACTTCCAAGACACCATTGGCTTCCAATTAAAGTTCGAACATCAGTTTCATATGGGATCTCACTTCTTAGAGGTCTGTTTGGCATCAGAGAAAGCTTCGAGAAACCAAACAAGTTCGTACAATTATCAGTCAACTTAAATAACTAAGGCCAACTAAATCGAGGTTAATTCAATTCTCAATCAACTTAAATAACTTCTTAGAGCTCTGTTTGGCATCAGAGAAAGCTTCGAGAAATCAAACAAGTTCATACAATTATCAGTCAACTTAAATAACTAAATCCAACTAAATCGAGGTTAATACAGATCGAAAGAGCGTGTAAAAACCTAAATCATCAAAAAAAAAAAAAAGGGGGGGGATAAGCTTTGCCCTAATTTCTCTGCCACTTACAGTGAAATCAAGTGAAACGCTCACGAACTTACTTGGTGTTCTCGTGGCTGAACCTTGCGCGGCCGCCTCCGCTTCTCGCCTTTGGATGAGCGAAAACAAGCAATGAAGCAGCCCATTGTTAACAAAACAAAAGAAGACTCTCCTTGCTCGTTCTCTCGCACTGCGAACAATGCTCTGAAGTGATAACTCCGAAAGGCGGATTCTGTTATTGGGTTTTTTCCATGTTTGTGAGAATCCGATGAAGAAGGAGAGAGAGAGAGAGAGAGAGAGAGAGAGAGAGAAGTGGGGCAGAGCCAAACGGTCAAGAAGAATTTATGGGTTTCTTAAAAATTTAATTTCTGTTGGAAAACCAAGGTTTTTTTTTTTATTTTAGAGTACATCCAACCAGGCGAGCGATCGAATTCAAATGTCAAAGTTCTTACTATCCAAATATATTTTGGTTAGTACACGTAACACTTTTGTTTTAAAATATATATTAATTATTGTTGATCATGCATGTTTTTGCTATGGTAAACAATATTTAAAGTAACGAATAAAAACCTTTCTATTTCTAAAAAAATTAAAAGTGATTAATATTAATATTACAATCATCATGGTATAAATAACAAAAGATTTAGAGGGAATATGTTCAAATTAGGATGGTCACCTACTTAAAATTTAATATCCCACCTATTTTCTTATCAATCAAATATAGTAGAGTAAGGCGGTTGGCCTGTGAATAGTCGAGTTGTCCACAAACGGGTCCGAAAAGGCGGATATAAAAAAATAATAATATTAGATATATATTAGTGACATTTTGTTATATTTTTCATATTTTGTCGTTTTTTAATATGATGTAAATGTCGATTTGTCCCTTGTATCAATGTGGAACCTATTAAATATAGTATCGAGAAACAAGCTAAGCCAGAGAACTGGTGATGGAAAATAGAATAAATAATAGAAAAGGGGAGAGAGGAGAAATTGTGGAGAAACTTTGCAGGGCAGGTGTTGGCGTTTGGGTAGATTTGGTTGATTTCCTGCCGTTTGATATTCGAACGTTGTGGGTCCCTTCGCCATCTTGGATATCGTTAAAGCTTAAAGCTGATGATAATAATTCAATTTTGAAGTGTGACTTATGAATAATTATAATATATGTGTTAAATTATAAATTTGGTTTCAACTTAATTCCTGTAATTTTAAAATTTTTAATTAGCTTCGGATAGTTTACGCTTAGTTTTAATTCGGACTTCGTGGTTTATTTAAATTGTATAAATAATCTTTCAAATGTGTTCTCCTATTTGAAAAGTTTGAGATAGAATTAATATGATATTTTATTATACAAAATTTGAATGAAGTGAAGTAATTTGATAATTAAAATAATGTATTTGAATTTGAGTAAATAAGTACAAATTTGTATTACATGCCAACTTTAAACATAATTTAATTGGTTAAGAATATATTATGCATCAAAAGGTCAAAAGTTTAAATCTACATCATCACATGTTATTGAACTAATTGATAATTACATTTTAGCTCTACGCCAAACTTGAGTATCCTTCTCAAACTTAATTCAACCCCAGTTATATTTAGAAAACTAATTTTAATAAATTCAAGTAGCTATTAAATTGGGATAGGGAAATTGGTAAATCTAACCTAGTTTTTCAGTTTTCTCAAATCCCTAGCCATTAAAAACTTCTTTTTTACCCACTTGAGAAACATTATGTGAAATGTGTTAGATGAAATGACTATTATGCCCCTCAATTTTTTAAGTCTAAAGTAAAAAAATTGGGCGAAAACTCGAATAAGTTCACAGCAAATTCGCTCGAGCTTTTTATGAAATGGTTTCGGGCATGTTTTGATAACTCGGTATATTGAGCGAGATTAAATAAATAAATAAATATATATATATATATATATATTAATTGTTATAATCGTTCTGAAAGAGAATCGAGCACTCAAATATCTACAGAGTTTTCTTTGTTTAAAAATTAAACATTTACATGAAAAAATAGTGGGAAATTAGATGAGATTTAGTTCTAGTAGAGAGAGGGTGGTGGGGCGCACTTCTAAGCCAACAATCAAAGCAACATATTATTTAAAACATTTATGCAATGTAATTTGTAACTTCACCCAAAATTTATCTTTTTAAGTCACATAAATTTCCCGTAAATTAATAGTTCTAAACGAATTTTCTATATGAATCTCAGATAAATTTTCTTTGAACTAATCCATTTTCTATGAGTCTAAGGCGAGCTTTTTGTTAAAGATCCCACATTAATAAAAAAAATGACCTTATATAAATTTATAATAGACATGGACTACTCATTCCATAACCTAATCAATTGGTTTTGAGATAGAAATCATGAATACTGATACTTTCTTCTAAATCAACTTGACATGAATCTTAGGCGAATTTGCACGAATCTTGAATTTCAGGGGAGAGTAGAAGAAGAGAAAGAAAAAGATGCATCTTCCTATCATCAAGGCCACATATATTGCTTTTTTTTTTTTAACAGCTGAAATGAATACTACCCCAAATTTTCAATGTTACCCCTTCCTTTCAACTACTTGCATACGTCCAACAACCCACCCTCTATGGGCATTTTGGTAAATTTGACTTCCCCATTCACACGCGTCGTTTGCTCATTGATCCATAGTTCGTGTATGAGAATATTCGAGTCAATAATTTTTTCCACAGAGCACATGCTTTTTTTTTTGCATTAGCATAAAATAAATATATATTTTTCAATTCACAACACGGCAAAAGACTTTAACATCGCCATCAAATTTTATATAGAATTAAACAAAAAAATTAACATATTTTTGAAGAACTACTTGATTTTCACCGATACATTTTCGTCTTTGCTATGACTTTGGTCAATGTTTGGGAGTCTCTCGAGAGAAGACCTACTACTTTTCTACACACGAAAAATTCTTTTGAAAAATTCTCCATCAAATTAGACTTATTTATAGAAATTAAGAGCAATCCTTTTCAAATTCTTAGTCTTATCTTTTTTATATCTTATACATATAAATAGTAATTATTTGAGTCATACTCAAGTTCTTTTTAATATTTTATTAATATACAAATATACAATAATGTAAAACAGGTACGGTTGAAGGTTACATTTTAGTTATCAGGATAGGGCATCTAACCATAGACAAGTTATTTATGAAAGAATTGATAACTACATCAAGTCAAGATTAAATGAGATTTTCATAAAATAGAAAATAAATATTTCACATAAAAAATTTCAAAATAATTAAATATTATTTTATTAATGAATAATAAAACATATACTATGAAGCTTTAGGCACAAGACCCAAAAATTTTCTATAACGATCTCCCTATTTAACTTAAATTAGTACTTTAAAAATATTAAATCAAGTGGATCTAAGCATGAATTTGAAATTCCCCAACCCACCTATGTGTTCAACTATAAAAAAAATTAAAAAAAAGATCAACCCAATATATATTCTTCACGTGGTTCACGTGGCTTGTCAAAACAAGTCGGAAAAAAAAAACAAAATCATAAATTTTGAAAGTCCAAAAAGCTTTCACATTTCTCTTTCATTCTCGTAGGTTCTTCTCTCTCTTTCATGGGGAAAAATTTTGGTTCAAAAATATTTTAATTTAGTTCCTATATTTCTAAATTTGTAGTTTAGTAGGTAAAATATTGATTTTACGGTTTTTAAACGTATTAGATTCATGAGTACTTTATCACTTTTTCTACTTTCAAGTTTTCATTAAATCTTAACTAAATTTTACTTGTAAATATTAAATTATTACAAATTTTAAATTACAGTTATTATATATTTAATAAAATCCAAGAGACTAAATCATAACAAATTTAAAAGTATAGAGATAAAATTATTACGCTAAAGTTTAGTAGAGACTAAATTGTTGCTTCAATGAGAGTTCAAGAAACACGTTTTAGAGTCAAAGCGAGCATAGTTGATCAGTAATTGGTATATACCTTCAACCAACTATTGTAAGTTCGAATCTCCTCCACGACATGTTGTATTAAAAAAAAAACTTTTTGAAGGCACGCATAATTATGTTCTAAAAATATATATATATTTTTAAAAAGTCATTTTTAAGTTATTGGGAATAAAAATGAATTGATACACCATATATTTTTATATGGTCTAAATCTTTACTTTTTCGACACATTACCTAAAAGTGAGAAAGTATAATGTAAAGACTTGAAATTTTCTCCAATAATTTGGAATCAAACGTTTTTCCCTCGAGCAAGATACTTGAAACGTGACATTATTTGGAGATCAATTTTCTGACAATATTTAGTTAGTAATTTGAAAATAATAGATTTAATGAAAAATCGAGTTGTAGTAAAAAAAATCAACACTCCCATTTTCTAAAGTTGTCAATGTCACGTAACTACAAATAATTAAGAGTCTCCTGTCCTGCCACACACAATAGTCAAGAAGGGAAAGTGTACATCCACGAGAGGGAAACAACGTCGTTTTAAACTACTTTTCCAAGTTCATCTAGAAATTTCATGTTTTTAATATTTTCTAATATCGGTTGGATAATAGATTTTTCCTCTCCTTTTTAGGTTTTGTCATACCATATATTATAAATAGAGATGAATGGATAATTTGATAAGCGAGTGCAAATAGAGAGTTATGAGAAATTCTCCAAGAAGGGAGAGTTTGAGAGCTAAACACTTGTGTATTCGATAGAGAGTTTGAAATTAGACTTGTGTAGAGTGATTCGTGAGCGTTTTCTGTGTAAGGAAACTGAGAGAAATCATTGTAAAGGACTTGTAAACTCTTGGGAGATTCTTTTTCACATTTTAGTACCTATAATGGTAGCAGAGAACTAATCACCACTTCAACAGGGGATCGAACAAGGTTTCTTTCGACACCTGAGGATTGCTTTGTGCCTGACTACACTCACTACCTTGTAGCGTGAATGTATAAAGAAATGCCCTCATAGAGTTTCCAACATTCATTCTCAAGCGGGGAGCGAGCTCAAGACCGAACAAAGCTAGAGCATCTCTTCCTTTTCGCCTTGCCCCGAGGGCTTACAAATCTATGGGCACAGTTGAACGAAGTTCGTATTCTGATACGGGTGGAGTATCAGAGGTTGAAAAAGGCTAGACCATAAATCAAAAAGTTAGAAAGAAGAATCGAAAGGAACGGGATGTAGCCCACATTGGGTGAACTAGTATAAATCGATCGTTTAATTTTCTTTTCCCTAATCTTTATTTATTATTCTTGTTACTTAGAAGTTTTAGATTAGTTTATCTAACCTTTTAAGTTGTAAATTCTAATTTGAAATTTGA